GAATTAGGAATATATATTGAAATCAACAAAGTTGGACCGAAGCCCCTTTAGAACCGAACCTACTTAAAGACTGAAACCTACTTTCGGTCCAAAAATCAACTTTCGGTCCGAGACCTACCTTCGGTTCGGATCCATCTTCGCTCGAAACCCACTTTCGGTTCATTTCGCTCTCGGTTCCAACTGCTTCCGGATCATTTCGGTTCGGTCCCAACCACTTCGAACCGAAGCTTCGCCTGCTTTCAGTTCATCTCGCTCTCGGTTCCCACTCGACGAACTTCGCCTGCTAGCTTTCTCGGACCGAACCTATCTTCAGTTCTGAGCCTTCTTGGACCGAACCTTCGGTTCTGACCCTCATAACTTCGCATGTTCGCCTCTTGGTCCCGATTAATGACCACTTTCGCGTTTTAAGCCCATTTTTGATGATTTTGACGGGGGATTTTCACCAAAACTCATATTTTAGCATATAATAACCCATAAATTCATATTTTAATCATATTTTGGGTAAATATTTACTATAGATAATATCTTTTGTACAATAAATTATCTAAGGGATGGTTAACTTTTCCAAGAAGATATAACACTATACCCACTTTATGTCACTATTCACACTTTACCATATCAAATTACTGTCATTTTTATGCATTTTCCAACACTCCATCAGATTTACTTCCACAAAATCTACTTAAGACTTTATATTCTTCACCTTTTCCCAAAAGTTTCATTCATCACATTCAAAAATCAAATACTCTCTCTCTCTCTCTCTCTCTCTCTCTTTCTTTCTCGATTATTTCTCCCTAGAACCAAGAACTTCAGGAGGTCACGATCTCTTCCCCCACATTTGGTAAGTTCTTCATTCCACTTTTGAATATTCTACACACCTTCACTCAAAATCATGGATTTCTTATGCAAATATCGTCATATTTGTTCTCAGGATCTTCAAATCTTCAAGCATTCTCCAAGTGTTCTTGACTTGGAAACCCCTCTTCTTCAACCATCCATCTCAGGAAATCACTCAAGGTGAGTTCATATCCCCTTCTTTTCACGTTTTCATCTAGTTTTGTGGGGGAGAACACAAGTTACAATATCAAAACATGCTTAAATTCAAATTACAACTTTCAACAGAAAAGTTATCACTCAATCACAAACTGTTTTAACCATCTTAAACTCTATAACTTTCAAAATTGTTCAATATGCATATAGTTCATCTTTATACCTTTAAAATGACTACTTGCACATGTTCATACGATTTTTCTACAATTTATGGTGATTTTTACAATATTGTTTATCACTATAGCAAAGAATTCGGAACAGTCAGTGAAAATGGTCATTTAGACACTAGTTAGGAATCATTAAAAATCATAATAAAAATTTGAGTATACTAGGCACATTTTTTGAACTTCCAGAGTTTATGGATCTAGATTTCGACTCACGATGATTTTTCTGTGATTTTTACAAAAAACAGTGACAGAAAAGTAACACTGGATACAAACAGTTTACAAATTATTAACACTTTGTAATGTGTTGAACAAAGTGTTTATATTGGATGACTACATATTTACTTGCGTTTTCTGTTAAGTTACACTTAAGTAACAAAAATACTCTTTCATTACAAGGATTTTTGGTCATTACAACATACATGATGAACTATAATAAGCAAAGTTGTAAAAATCGTTCGACGTTAGCTAGTCGGTGGACTGGGGTCAAGGGATTAATCGGCTAGACGGAGATTAATCAGTGGATTAATCAAGGACCATTAATCGCTAATTTGTTAGATTTTAAAAAATTAAATATGCTTAATATCATATAAAAGTTCATAAATACCACTAATATCATAACAAAATAGGTTAATATGATAAATACAACACTAATCATACCTCAAATAGTTTCTATTGAGATATAACTTCTTCAAAGTGTTAAAATTTCATCGGGTTCTATTGTTTCAGTCATTTTGTATAAATGGATTAATCGCTAGGCGCTCTCTAATCAGTCAAGTAACGCCTAGGGATTAATCGGAGATTAATCAGGATTTTTACAACACTGATAATAAGTATAGTTTATGATTTTGCTATATTACTATTCACTATTAAAATGTTCAATTTTCACTAAAAACGGTTTTTTCATTACTACGTACATTCATGATAAGCTATAATAGGTATAGTTTATGTTACATCAACTCTACGAACTTACTAAGGATGAGTTATACTCCTACTACAAAAATGTTTTTCAATTACACTACACGTAAACTTGTTAAATCCAGTTGTGAGGAACTACTTCATTGTACTCTTAGAGTATTGGTTAAAATCATGTAGTTATAACCAGAGTCTCTTGTAGGGAGAGTGTGATACTTGTATATAGATCTATATTGGGATTGACAACTCACACCTTAGCTGCATGCAACAGCTAGACCGGTAGGTTTGGGGCGACAAATGTCATAACATTTTGATGCCTGAAGAATGTCGTCACAGGCTACTATGTCAAACAGTATGGTTATAACAACTCACATTGGAAAATAACAATACACATAGTTTACCGGGATCTTTATGTTCAAAGGGGTTTTATTTTTATAAAACTGCATACACTATTATAAGTATGGTAAAATACTTGTATATTTTGGATCTTAAGACTGCAACACATTTTATGAGGAAAATATTGATTTTTTCTTGTGTATACCTTACATTTACAAAGAAAGGATTTCTACTCTATATACAAAAGCTTATGCACTCACCAACGTAATCGTTGACACTCTTTCAAAATTTACTTGTATTCTCAGGTAATCAATAAAAACATGTGACTACCAGCTTTGAGGATGGAACGCTTCAGCGTTAATCAAAACATTTTGTCATTATATTGTAATCGATTTTGAAACATGTACTCTTATAAAACCGTGTAACTTTCTCGATTATATTTATAATGGTTATATTTACTTTGAGCACTATTATACTCGTTGTTGTGATACAATATATGAAGTCCTCCACTCCCAGACGTGTCAGTCATCATTGGTTTGGGGGTGTGACATATATTATATCAGTATTTTAAAATTATGACATTAAAACATATTATTTTAAATATAAGAAAATATTTAAATTAACAAACTATAATAATAAAAAAATTAATATATTAAAAATCCAAAATACGGTTTAAGATAAATTATTTATATATAAAACAAAATTAAAAAATAATAATAAAAACAACGCTTATATATTTTTTCTCAAGAAACAATACATATAGGAAATAAAAATACATATGCAAAATGATCAAGCTCATATTTACTTACATTCAAAATCTTCATTTTTTTTCATGCACCAAAAAGAATATACATTTATTGAACTCAAAGTCATTATCGTTTTAAGAATGCATATATAAACATAATAAAAACTATTAATAAATGACTTACTTATTCAAATTGGTATCTTCGTGTCTATCTCTTTCTCGTTCTCAAATCATCTTTTCTCTCTATATTATTCTCTACACCCTAGTAATATGATTTACATGCGCATGCGCAAAAACACACACACACACACACACACACATATATATATATATATATATATATATATATATATATATATATATATATAATAAACAGCCAATTATGCATTATAAGTACTAATTAAATATCATGAATTAAAAAAAAAAAAAAAAAAAACTTTAGAGTTTTAGTGATTTAATTAGTTAAAAGGTGAAAGGTTTTAATATTAAAATATTTTTTAATGCAATTAAGGGAATCGGCATTTTGAGTTGTGGTATTTAACAATAATTTTTAATCAACTAATTAAGAAAAGCATAAGTGAGTTTCAATTGTAATAAATAAACTTCAACATATGCTCCTTTCAAATGAATATAGTTCAAGATAAAATAAATATTTTAAATAATATTTATTTGAATGACTTCTATTATAAAAGTTACTAGTATATTCATGTGTTGCGCATGAATAATTATATGGTAAATATACCGAAATATCACATAAACTTCAAAATTTTATATCTAATATTTTAAAAATGAAAAACTAAAACTTTTAACTAAAACTCAAACAAAATAACATAACCGCAATTTTAAAGTCAATTATATGTAGAGAGCAAACACTTCATCAAAATTTCATCAAAATACGACATTTCGAAAATAAATGATTCGAGAATTTTAAGATAAAAAAGTTTTAATGTTATGATATAAAGAACAGATATATTTTTTTTGTATTACTTTGTAAATTACAAAAAGTTCACAAGACAATAATATTTGAGCTTAGAAGATTAGACTTAAAAAGTATTTTGCAATTTAATGAATTTCACAATTCAAACGAAATCGCTTTGTCTGTGAAAAAACTATATACCTTGCTAATTCGTGAAGCTTTTTTCATAGATTTGGTGGTCATTTTGTGGAAGATGTGGACACATGTTCATTTAATGGTGTTTTTTTTTTTTTTTTTGACATTTTAAGGAGGTGATTGAATAGGAAAAAAAATGGGTGTTTATTGTTTATTCCCACTATAATAAATTAAGTTTAAGTGTTGAGATAAAATTCTTAAAAATCAACTTATTATGATAGCTAAATAAATTAATTTTAATAAGCATCTTCCCTCTTACTTATTGCTTATTGTTTATTGCTACTGTAAATAAACTAATAAGTTAATCTAAACATCCTTTTAATTTTTATCTTATATCTATTACATCAACATATTTATATTCTCTTATCTATAATAGCAATATAGTTACGTTTTTCTAGAGAATATCATAATAGCAATATTAAACCCATAATAACAATTTACATATTTTTTACATATAGTAGTAACATACTAATAATTCGTATATTCATAATATCATATACTTCAATTTTTTATCGATAATATCAATATATAACATGAAACTTGTAACCATTAACATGTTCTATATATTACTATAATGAATATAAACTACAAGTTCATTATGGGTAAGAAATATGTTGTTATACTGTGCAATGTGATCACCTACTAAAGATTAATATAAAACATACAACAAAATGTTGTTCCAAAATTTTATTTTATTTTTAAGAAGTTTGCTAAAGAGAAAAAAGACTACACTATATAAATCACTAATACGCCGTGAAGAAACTTAAACTTACAAAAATGAAGGTTTTCATCATTTCCTTTTTCCAGTCAACTCATCATCCGTTTGATAATAAACTATATCACCAACGTCACTAACAAAATGATCTTGTTGAATGCTTCTCATCAAGTTCTGTATCAAATGTATCGGTATCAATCCAGACTTTTTAGGTTCTCGATAGTACTCCCCAAGCACTGGCTTAGCTGCCTTTGTCTGCATAAAACATATAATTAATATATATATAACGTCAATTGTGGAAGAAACCTATATAATATATGTATATACATTAAATATATACTTACAGCTTCGATTAAATGATAATGTGGGATTTGCGGGAAGAGGTGATGGATGACATGAGTGCCAATATCATGATGAATGTTGTTAAATAATCCATAATCACGATCTACAGTTGTAAGCCCTCCTCTTAAATAACTCCATTCCTATTATATATATCGTTAAACACATAAAAAAAACAAAGTTATACATAGTTGTTCATTCTATACAACTTATGTAGTATAACTAACAATTACAAAAACAATACCTTGCCACGATACCAAGGAAGTTTCTTCTCATAACCATGGTGATGCAAATACGTTACTATATCCAACCATGCCACAAAGATCTGTAAACGAAAATATTGAAAAAGAACACTTCAATTTATCTAAAATATTTGACTATAAACAGTTTAGTTTTATATGGTACTTCAAAAGTTCAACATACAATGACGAGTCTAAATAGAATCCGGATAACTATGTATAAAGAAGATGTAAGATTCTTACATGCACTTTGAATAAGTATCTAGATGCTTTCGTATATATAAACATCTTCAAATTTACATAAAATCTCTTAAAGAAAAACAATCCCAATGCAATGAAAGATGAATTTGTTTAACAAAAAAAAAAAAAAAACTTACCAAATAAGGGATGCCATAGAGGTTGAACAAAAGCATTGGGCCAATGAGATTGGCGATGTAGAAAAGCAAACCAACCATAACTCCCCAACATATCGTAGATGTCACTATGTAATGCCTCTCATTTGGTGAAAATATTTCGCTATATGGGTTGAAATGGGACCCACTCTTCCCTGGGCTCCTCTTCAACTACATACATATCCAAAATAATTTTTAAAAATGACATGCATTTAATAGTTTAGTTATATACTACAAGTCAACAATATTGTTACATTCAGCATAAAAGAGGTAATCATAATGATACTCAGGTTCATTTTATTGCTAAGACAACGATGAAAAGATATTCAATTTGAAAAACATCGTGTTCTCACCAGGTATAGTGGATATGCGAACATCGGAAACGGGATTTTGAATCTGAAGAATTTTGTACTGGCATCTAAACTCTTGTACGTTTTCTCTGGTATCTGAAAATTAATAATATTTTTGTAAAATATTAAATCGGTTTTATCCTACATATATATTTTCATGATAAATATATATTATATATAATAATATCTTGTTATAAACAAGAAAAATAATTACCGGAACCCATGACTCGTCATTCTCAACATGCCCGTGATTCTGATGGTGAGTTCTATGACTAATCCTCCTATAAAAAGTTGTACATTATTCATTAAAGATTGTACATTGTACAACAACAATACGAAGAGAAGGGTAACAATGTAATTTTAGAACTTACCAGCCATGATAGGGTACAAGAATTGCAGAATGCAAAATATGGCCCACAATGCTATTAAGGGTAGCACTGTCCGAAAAGCTTCCATGCCCACTGTGGAAGAAGTTAAAAAAAGTAAAATTAACAAAATTAGCCCCTTAACTTTCATAATTTTCCCTTTTTGCACCTTGAGGAAAGTCTTTTAACAATTACATTATAGTTATGCTATTTAAAACATTAATTATGTCATCTGGATTACAACTTACAAAAAAATATATATACATATATGTTTAACTTCTCTCCATCTTCCCCATCTCATCACATTTTAAGGAACTTTTTTGTGATTATAATAATATTAACTGATAATTAAAACAAAATTGTTGGATTAATCGGTTTTAAATATTAAAAAAGTAGAAGGGGTAAAAAGGGAAAGAAGGTGTACCAATCATGACCAAGAACAAAGATTGCCCAAAACATTGTGCCTTGAGAAACCCAATAGAGTGGCCAGAAAACCAAAGTAATGTTCTTTAGGTAGACAGCCATGGCAACCAAAGATGAAATGACCAAAATATCCCTGATGACATATGCCATTGATCTCCATGGATCCTTGACCCAACAATGCTTAGGAATGGAAGCTCTGATTTCAGCCACCCTGAAAGGAGGAGGGGCAGAAGGGTCAAAGCAAACATCATCACCCTCGCCTCCATTCACAACAGCCCCTTCTTGAAGCTTTCCCCCATTTCCAGATATTACAGCCATTGCTTTGCTTTGGGGCTCTGTGTTCATTCGAGGGTATTTTAGGAAACAAAAAAATTTCAATGGGGGTTGATGGTGTATATATATATATATATATATATATATATATATATATATATATATATATATATATATATATATATATATACATATATATATATATATATTCTATCATTAAATTCATCATAACTTTCTTGATCAGAAATTTAGTGATATTGATATCGTTAATAAAGGAAACGGTAAGTAGTAATTGCAATGAGATCCTACAAAAGCGTGATTAATCTTCTTGATGTTTATGAGAGTGAATACTAATTTTATTACAATTGAAAGCAATTTTTCATAAAAGATCAGATTTTTATGGAAAAGAATAAGGCGAAATGTTATCAAAATCATTGTATTGGTCAATCTCATTAATCACATGACCACTACATTAGTTTTCTGTGTGATAATTAACGTCAAAATAATTCATATATCTCGAAAAGAAAAGAAAAAATTATAAAATGTTTTTGATTTCTTGGTATATTTTGTGAAGGGATTAAAACATTTTAAAATAAAATTGTTTGAATATGTTCAGGAAAGATGTGAACCCTAACACAGTTTTCTTCTCACTATAGAGTTACAATGAATGTTTGATTATACAAGATAACACTAGGATATATTTTGACTAATGGAATAAAATATTAAATACAAATTAGTCACTTTTAGGTGATATTTTACAAAATACACAACTTTTAGGTTTTTTTTAATACATAACCATCGATTTCGCAATATACTTGTGTGAAATTACTATTGGCTACTAATTTTACTTCTCGTTTGCTCCCACCAAAATAATATTTATTAAATAACTAAATTTTTTGTTGTACTATGAAATTGTTCTTTATATACTACAAATAAAATTGTTCATAACATTGCTAAAATCATAAATTTTTATATAAAAAAAATGAAATTATGTTTTTTGTTTTGCAAATGTTCAAAAATCATTTCACAGCAAAAATAAGTTACTGCAAAATGAGGTTTTAGGTTGAAAAATATTTTCGGGAAAAAAAATGTAAAAAATAAAAACAATAAATGCCTGGAGGGAGAGGATTTGTAGCAAATAGTGATTCATCGATGGACTTTATCAAATTGTTGGTTATATATAGAAAAACAAACAAAAAATAGTTATTTTGTAAAATATCACCTTTAGAAGTTATTAGTGTTCTTTTTTTTTTTTTTCTTCTGTAATCAGAAACACAAAGAGAGAGGTTGAAAACTACCTTGCTTTATAGCTTGTTGAAGTGGAAACTAATACGTTGCTAAAAGAGCAACATGGTTATGCCTAAATAAAATTTAACCAAAAAAAAAAAATAGTGAGCGATTATAATAGAATATGAAGAAAAACAATCACTTACACCCTTACCTTAGAGAAAGACGTAGAGAGGCATGTTGAAATTAGATGTAAATAAGAAAAACATTAACAAAACCGAATGAAATCAGATGAAAGCCAACATTTATAACTTCACGATGGAAAGAGGAGATAAAAATGTATTTAAAGGGGTACAATTGTTTTTCGGAGATCGAACTAATTTCAAGGAGAGGTTATAAACTTTGGAAAAGGTAAAACATGACTAGTGAGAAGCGAAAATTGATGATCTTTTCTAAAGGTTTATTATTTATATTTTATAATTAACTAAATTCTTTAAAAAAAAAAAAACCCTAACCAAAAAGTGAGTGAGTCGTTGAGTAATAGATGCTAAAATTAAAAAAGATCTTCTTGTGAGAATAATTTATACTTTCACTTGAATTCATGTCGGGGATTTTTTTATTTTGAATGTTAATTTGTGATTTGTCCTATAACATCTTTTATAATATTAAAATTCAAAGGGTGTCACCTTAAAAGAAATGCCCTCTCTTAATGAATATTGTCCATGACTAGATGATTGGATTCATCGGCTCATGCATCAAATGTTGATAGCTATGTTATTGAATAAGCACTGCACAAAACATGTTCTAGCATTTAGAACGACGTTGTTGATTATTTACACGCTACAACTAGTCAACTTATTCATCCATATTTGTCTTTGTATCAAAAGTATCAAAATCCGTTGATTTTGAAGGCCTTATAGGAAAAGTAAATATTGATCATTTAAATACAATTTTCTATATATAAGCAAAATAAAATTAAGAGTGAATTGGAGAGAAACTAGAGGGAAACTAAAAGTAAATTAAATTAATTAAAAAAAGATAAATGCAAATTTATAAACATTAAGAGCATAAATATGTGACTTTGGAAAAATGAATGATATGATGGATTGTGAAAGATAGAGCATAAATGAGTGGTTGAATGTGTAAATTAGAGTAAAACTCAATCATGCATAGTCTAATTAAATTGTGCAGCCCAATTTTTTTTAATAAACATGAATTGTGTTGGAGATATGTCTACTATACAAGATCATAATAACACAAATCAGTTTACTTGTATGAGTTATACATTTCACGACCTAAATAGCAAAGCAATAACAAATGAATAAAAAAAGAAATTAGTTTCACATTTATTGAGTATCAATAAATAATTAAAAATTAATTATGTTAATTTATTCTTTATTAAGACCTGATCCTTTTTAATAAATAAATGTTTTTTTTATTTATCATTTGTCATGTTCTCATTCAATTTATCAAATGTTATTTTGTGGTTATTTTAAATTATTATTTTTTTCACCATATCATTTTATGAGTTTTTCTATTTTATTAAATTACACATAATATTTTAATGTAATAATTGCAATAAATATAATAATAAATGAATATTACCTTCACTAATAAAATTACGTTTTAATTTTAAAATTTTCAAAATTAAAGTTTCTTTTCTTTATTTAAATCATTTGTTATGATGGAAAATAAGATAAATAATGAGTTGGTTTAAAAAGAAGAAGAAAAAGCTTATGCGGTTTAAAGTTGATTTTGAAAAAGCTTATGATTCTGTGAGCTGGGAGTATTTGGATACGGTTATGGGGTTACTCGGTTTTAGTGAGAAATGGAGAGCCTGGATTCATGGCATGTGCTCTAATGCTAGATCTTCGGTGTTAGTTAATGGGAGCCCTACTGATGAGTTTCAACTTTTTAGAGGTCTTAGACAAGGAGATCACATCTCTCCTTTTTTTATTCATTATAGCTATGGAAGGGCTTCATATTGCTTTAGAGGATGCGGTTGCTGAAGGGGTGTTTCAGGGGGCACCGATAGGTTCAGATGAGGTCCTCATATCTCATTTGTTTTATGCAAATGATGCGATTTTCCTAGGGGAGTGGGATGCCTCTAATATTCAGAATTTAATTTGTATTCTAAGGTGTTTTTACTTGGTGTCAGGTCTGAATCTCAATCTTAATAAATCAAATCTCTATGGGGTAGGGGTTAACTCGATGGAGATTACTAGTTTAGCTTCGTTTACCGGGTGCTCGGCTGGAACTATTCCCTTTGTTTATCTTGGGATTCCGGTTGGAGATTCTATGGCTCGGATTAAAGGTTGGCAGACTATCATCGACCGCTTTAAGAAGAGGTTATCTTCTTGGAAGTTCAAGTTGTTGTCTATTGGAGGTCGTCTGATACTTATTAAATCGATTCTAGGGAGTTTAGGTATTTACTTTGTCTCTCTGTTTCGTCTTCCTGCGACAGATTCTCACTCTCTAGAGGCCCTGAGGGCTCGGGTTTTTTGGGATGTTGATGAAGGTCAAAATCATATTCATTGGGTTAATTGGAATTTGATTTTAAATTCTTATTCTCAAGGAGGTCTTAGGGTGGGTGGTTTGGATGCTTTTAACCTAGGCCATCTTTATAAATGGAAGTGATAGTTTTTTTTAATGACAAGGGAGCTCCTTGGGTTAAATTTGTCAAATTTTGTCACGGGGAAGGTGGTGGGTTCTTGGGTGACTCAAGAATAGGAAGCAGAGGGGGTGTATGTCAAAAGATAGTTATCCATTAATCATCTTCGTGAGAATGGTTGTATTCCTTCCAATTTCATGCATAGAGTAGTAGGGGATGGGGCTCATACGAGGTTCTGGAAGGATGTTTGGTACTCAGATATTCTTCCTAAGGAGCGGTTCGGGAGACTTTTTTCTTTGGCCCTTAATCAAGATGCCTGGGTTAGTGATTATTGGAGTTCGGGGGGTTGGAATTTCCATTGGCTTCGGGGGATTAGAGGAGGGGCCGAATTGACCCAATTTGATGATCTTGTGGAGATTTTAAATCCTATTCGTCTATGGGAGGTGTCGGATAAGTGGTCTTAGGAGCTTGATCCGTCGGGTATATTTATCAGTAAAATCAGCAAGGAACTGGGTTGATGATATGACGCTTCCGACGGGTAGTATGCCTACTAGGTGGAATCGTTTTGTCCCTATTAAGATTAACATTTTTATGGCGTGTGCTTTTGGATTATATTCCACTTAGATCTAAATTGGTGGAAAGGGGTGTCGCGATAGATTCCTTATTGTGTCATGTGTGTCATAATTCTCAAGAAAGTGTGAATCATTTGTTGTTGCAATGTTCGGTTGATGATCAGGTTTGGAGTCGGGTTGGGCATTGGCTTCACCTGGACCTTCCTAGTTTTTCTTCTGTTTGTGACATGGTGGATTGGGTGGATTCTAGACCAATGACTCAGATGGAGCGTTCCATTGTTGAGTCAGTGTTCATGGTGGTCTTATGGGTGCTTTAGACTTTTCGTAATTCATTAGTTTTTAGTAACAATAAATCTAGAAAAGATAGACTTTTTGATTATGTTATTGATCTTTATTTCCGTTGGTTTTCTTTTCGGAACACTAAGACTCGGATTAATTGGTTGATGTAGCTACAAAATCCAATCCGGCCTTAATGTGTATTTTTCTCTAGCTTCTTACTAAAGGTTTGGTTTATTATATGATGTTGTTGTTCTAAGAAAAAAATTTACTATATTTATTACAATTACTATATTAAAATATTAGGTGAAATTTAATAAAATATAAAAACTTATAAAATGACATGTGAAAAAAAATTATTTCAAAATAACCACATAATGATATTT